AAACAATTAAAAATCGTATTTTTTTCTGAATATCATATTATGAAGATAAAAATTTTTTGAATTCCCATACGGTCATACACAATTTATAAACAAATTGCGCTAAAACAGTTTGTTCAACTTACCGAATGTCTTTATTTGATACAGAAACAGGATATAATGATAAATATATAGAAAAATTAAAACAATATGTTATGTTACTAAAAAAAATCATAATGAACAAAATATAATGTTTTTGAACTTTTATAATGTGATCTTGTGGAGCACATTGATAAAAAGAGATTCACGTTCATTACAAGACCAAACACGACTATGATACGATATTTCATCATGGAATCCTAGTGCCTATCTTCCGGCTCCATCATCAGATCAGCTCCAGAGTACCTACCATATTGTCATCAAAATCACATAAAACTGCCAATTTTCATAACGCTACGATCTTTAAAAGATGGTTAAATTAGTTTTCTTAGATTTGACTACATAGTTACATACATACATACAGGTCGACCTAATAAAAGCGTATTAAAAACGAAAAATATACAGGCCTTTTTTACGTCTGTAGAACTTGGGGGTCATTTGATTTGCTATTTTCTTCCAAACCTCCGGAAAACACTGCAGCATCATGGGCTCATTAGTTTTCCTTCCCATCTTTTTATCACACTAATTTCAACAACCTGTATGAGTTTTTTGTTGAGTTGTACTGTGTGATCTAGTGCCTCACATTCCATGTCGGGTATAATTCCATTTCAGTGTGATATTAGCTGGGGAAGTATTTGTTTTTCGGCTAGTATTTACCAGAAGGCATTGTAAAGGTACTTATATATTTGTTTACATATAGATATGTCAAAACTATTTTGATTTCTGTTATGAGTCTCTATCAGGTAACTCAGGTAACGCTTGACGAAGTGTATGCGTGGTGTCAAAGAAATAAACTTATTTTAAACCATGGTTAAAAGTTTTTCTTACTTTGTGTGTAAAGAATTCAGTGAATAACAAAATCCATACTCAGTTTCAAGAGGTAAAATCTCATCGCAACAATTGAAATCGATATCATTCCATTTGCAGGCTGAAACCACTCTATTGCATTTCTTTCGATACTGTAATACAAAACATTAATTAATAATCTACACGAATATAGCATATTATACTGTAATACAAAACATTAATTAATACTCTACACGAATATAGCATATTGATGAGGTAACTGAAGATTTACCTTCAAATGAAATAATAAATCATGAATATTAAAATCAAGACAATATAATTTCACAACCTGTATAATTGTTCCAGAACAAACACTTTTCTCAATCACCAAAAATGCGTTTCACCAACCAAGTTGGCATCTTCAACAGAGGAAGAAGTGTTTGTTTTGGATTTATTCTATGCCGGAGGCTCCTGTCGCATCTTTTAGTGTATAATTGTGTTAAGGCCAACCGAAAGGACACATATACCGGGCAGATGGAGTTATAACAATGTGTACCAATGATGAAGCAAAGCCGATAGAAACGTATATAAAGATATAGTGCTGAAATAAACAGATCGTGAGGTAACAGCTAACGAAAGCATCGTCAATTATCGACTGTACTTTTTTCCCAAATTGTCGCCTTGCTTCAATTAATAATTTCATATTCACCAGTTTTATGAATGTAAACATGTACCAAATAGCCAATAACAATTTAAACCTTTATTTATTGTTGAGTTGAAAGCATTTTGATTTCAAGCTTCAGGTACTATTCTTTAATGTTTGAAATCTTCGTTTATTATTTGCGATACTCAATACTAATGAATAAGTGTGCTCGATTGCTACGATTTCATTGAATATGTGCTCTCAGACAAATAAAAATGTAGTATCAACCAAAGTAGAAAGTTTATATGAAAAATAACACACCGTTCATATCTATACACCTTATAAAATTATCTACAAACATGTCCATATCATAGAAAAACATGTTGAAGTTCCAAAATGCACTTGAATTGAATCAATGTTACTTTCAAACTTACTTTCTCCACTTTTTCGGTGAAATTCATTGATTTACATGATTTACAATCCGAATTGCAGGAATAGCAGCTCCCGGTAAAATATACCAAATCGATTATAAATTGCTTTTGCATGTCAATTTCTTCTTTATCAAAGTCTTCATCTCTGAAAAAAATGATTGTGAATATACATTTCAAATACATTAAACTGTATTTATTTTGCTATAAGTTGAAAAATTAAATCCAGTACAGTTATTATTATATTTAAACTAAAATACATTTCAGTGAAATGTGTGTGTGTGCTATTGGCATCGCCTGCGTTGTATGGCCAGGTGCAAAGATGGGCGACATCAGTTTGTCGAAAAAATGAAACAAGACATATGAACGGAGTTAACAACAGGAGTCTACCGCGCATTTGTGGTTTTAGTCAGACGACCTAGCATTTGTAAGAAACAAATAACATGTTCAAGTAATTTTTACTTTATTGGACATGCTAATGGGGAATGTTCCTCCTGACGAAAATCAAGTAGTTTTCATAAAAGAGCTCTATAACAACGCATTTTAAACTTATCATTTCAACCTTTTTCTTTAAAAAATTATTTAAATACTTAAAAAAGAGGAATGAAATAATGCATTCAACATTTAAAGGGATTCGTTTCTGTTTCACCATTTGGCAACATCGGTTGTAGCTAATAAAGGACAATGAAACTGTTACCTGTATGAGACAAACAAAGATGACATATTTCAGAGGCGTGCTGTTCTGTCTACTTATGTTCCGAGTTCCGAGACATTTTGTGACATATGACATTTTGTGCACCTAAGCTATCTTCCTCTATATAAATAAATAACAAAACAACTGTTGTTTATGTGGCTTGTGGAAGTGGTATTGAATTATAATTTATATTTTTCCTTAATTGTTGATTTATAAAGATAATTTTAATTTTTTGAAGTAGAATATCTAGGTACGTATAAATTATTTCAACTTTCAAATCCCTTTCAAAAATTAAAACCTTTCATTTGAAACATCAGTTTGAATACTTTTCGAAGTGAATTTGAAAAACTCACTTTATTTTGTTCAAACTTGCATTTGCTGTAATAACCCAAATTGAGGAACATTCCCCATTATATTCAGGTTGAAGAAAAATTTTAGAAAACTCTGCTCCTACGTCGCCCTATAAAACAGTCACCTACCGGACTTATAACGTAAAATAATATCATTGTCAAACATACTCGATCTACGGAACTCTTGATGAAAAGATTCACTAAATATCGCATTCAATTTCCAGAAGCGCTGGGCGCATACCAAATGGCACTGCTTGACGGTCACAGAACAGATTGCGTAAAAATGCATAGAGACCCTAGTGTTTATTTAAGGACAAAACACAAGCACTACAGGAAAATCCTTAAGGCGTACTTAAAGCGGTGGTTGTGCGAAAGTAGTGATTCACATTGGATTTGAATCGCTGGAGATTGAATTCATTTGGAAAAACGTTTTCAGGAAGTTTATTCCACATAAACGCAGTTCTCCAAATGAAAGAGTTTTCAAACAGTGAAGTTCGAGATGTACTGAGTGGAACCTCAAAACGATAAGCAGCCACAGTATGCAGCAGTTCAACAAGTCACTTGAACACTTTCCGTGAAAGTATCTATAGAAGATAGACAAATCTTCAACGTTTCTTCGATGTTCCAGATTATCAAGGATGCAAGTGATGTTCGCGTCTCCAATCAGGCGGATGGTTCTTTTCTGGATGGAATCCAGCAACTTCTGGGTATGTTTGTGGGCAGAGTTCCATACATGAGAACAATACTCTGATCTAAGCTAATAAGTCTGATCTCAGCTTCATAAAGCATCATCAGTTCTAACCGATTGGCTTTCGTTTTGTCAAAAACTCTCGACGCGAGAAATGAGATTTATAGATGATGATAGATTGATATTTGGTGCAACAATCAAAATATGTTACGCGAATTTTGTTGAGGTGTTTAATTTTAAATCACCTCAGCACAACTGTCAATCGAATTCTGAAATTTATTGGATCACTATCATTTCTTCATCAAGAGTGTCCTAGGTTGGGAGTTTTTGAAAAATATTTTTCATGGGTAAGGGGTCCAATAAGTGATCACACCAATGATACTCTATGCATCTTGGATTGCTAAGTATTATGTGAGAATAACAAGTTGACAGTTGAATGTTTACATGAGGAAATAAATTGATATTGCGAAATATTTTTCATATATTGAAGGTCTGAACAATTATTTGCAATTTTGTGGTTCGGTGCATTTGTGGTGTGTGATAATGAATGATCACAATTTTCCAAAGTGCAATTTTTTGGCCTCATGCATGTTCCGAGCCTTTAATAATTCAATCATACATTTTTATAATTGTAACCTTCACGAACTATAAAACACATCTAAAACACCCAATCTGTGAGGAACTAATATACGCACAGGTCTAAGCACAAATGTAACACGTTTTATACTAATCACTTCTCAGCTTTGACAGTTATCTCTATTTTACCAGAACCTGAAGCTTTACTTGTTGATTGCAAGGGTACCATCTTTTTCTATTTCGCTTGAGACACTTTCAGAACATGGTTTTCAAATGTTTCAAAAGGTTTTTTGATATACTTTTGAAGATCCCCAGCAAGTACTAGCCGAACTGGGTCGACCCTGAGATCAACATCAATACTTTCTACATCAATAATATTATAATAATCTTAAATGATTATGAGAGAAAAGTCACACTATAAGAATATATATAAAACAATTCTTACTCAAACCATTCGGGTTCAGATCCAGCAATAGGGCATAATGTAACAGCAGGAAATGTTGTATTCCATTCCAAGTAAGTGGTTTCGGTAACAAAACTCACTGATTTTTCTTCAAATGCTTTGTATGAATTTTTAAACATGAGCAACATCACCCCAAAGTTCAAGACGAAAATGATGATCCAAAATATCCTGAAAAATTGAAATATATTATCGTAACACCTCCACTGCCAACAAAAAAACAACAACTTGAAGTAGACTACCAGTCAATAGCCGAAGACAAATGTGAATGCCAATAATGGAGGGGAACTATTTACTTAGCAAAATAGTCATTTTCATAAACTCCATTGAACTTCATATTAATGGAGTACACTTATTTCCAAAGAGTTGTTGTGGTATTTTATGCTTCAATTATACTCTCATTATGTACAACAAAAAAAGTAATAAAAAAGTAGGTATAGGTGGGAATCCACAGTTTTTTTTATGCCGATTGTCTTGGTTAACGTGTATTTCAACAATAGTTTATACTGAGAACTAACTACTTGATATTCAAAATGATGGTGATGGACAGCCTTTGTATTTTGGTGTCCAAAGGTCCATTCGAGCAAACTAATTTGGTTTAGAGTTTATGCAGGAAGTTTGTTTTTTACGAGATGGTAACTAGAAGACATGACCAAGAACACAAAATGCATGTTGATTTTGAGATGATGTTTATATTTTTTAATTTCTAGTTGTGATTTATTAAGAATTATATATTTTCAGGTGATTAGCACTATTAAGACTCTTCCCTGTTCCTGATTCTGACCATAACTACCCTAAATTCTGTTTACTCTATATGGCCCCACGTTGGGCACCAAGATGTACAGTCTTTCGAAATTGGTTTGTCAAGGAGAAGAGAAAGAATTTTTTGTCAATGATTTCGTTTAGTGAAGGTGGTTTGAAAAGTTCTCTATTGGAAATTACACTTATTTAGATTTGGTAATGTTCTTACATCATTGGGGAGGTCAATCAGGTTATAATCTTTTGGTATCAATTTCAAATGTATGTTCATATGGAGCCAAAGTCGCGATATTCTCAAACAATGTATTCCCACCGCAAGAGTTTTAGTTGAGTGACGTGATTTTGATGGACAACACAAAATAAAAAGCTTTCGTTTCTTGTGGTTTTCATTTCTTTGAGTCTGAAATGCATCAAACATTAACTTCAGTTCCTGATAGGTTAGGATGTAAAGGACCATTAACCTCGATAGTTGGACCTATCGATTAATAGGTGTCGAGGTATGTTTTTTTAAATTCACTAATATTGATTGATCTCGTCCAACGCCCCCAATAAAAAAAAATCGAATACGCCAGAAGTCATTGTTCAACAGGTATCGCTGAGCTGGTTGGTGTAATTACAACCAACAGATAGAGACACGCGTAAAAAAATAAACAGACATAACAAAATATGTGAACACTATATTCATTATGCGACGAGTGGGGTAATGATCGGTCACAAGTTTGAAATCGGTTATTCCTCAGAAGTCGAAACATAAGATTCACGAGGTTTGACCTTTAATTGTGTGAATACTGTCACCCATTCAAACGATAGTTTCGTTCTGCTACTGCGGAAAACAGTAGCAATGGTATTTGCGCTGACTACAAAGACTCATATTATAAGCAAATTCGTACCAGTCAGAACCATCCAAAGCTAAAGTTTACTTATGTCCAGAATTATACTTGAACCGGAATGAAAATACTGGACACAATTTTAAAATACTTTCGTTATTGTCGATATGGTTCGCAACTTTATTTTAATGAAGCAAAGTGAGATTGCAATTGGATTTCAATTTCAGAATCGAAACTTTCGAAACATCGCATCGATAATCCTGGTTTGCAATTATAGTTAACCTGTTCAGCAAATTTTTCGCAATCATATTGATTTCCATTGTTAAAAACATCTTCACATTTAGAGATAATTTTATTGGAATAATACATACATTTTTTTTTATTTTAAAGTTGATGATGGATCATATAATTAATTGTTGTTTTTATTTATGTAACACATGTTTAAAGCAAAACTCACCTGATTGCCCAACAATTATTTTCATCTGATACATATTTCAGACCGTGCAAATTAGATATATCTCCATAATATTTCAAACGATTTAGCATGTCTATGGAATAGATGAGTTAGGTCTTACTGTTGAATAGTAATCAGTTCCGAAAAAACGGTAGGTTACCGTCGATATTGAAGATATTAATCGTTTGCTCACAACAAAGAAGCTTTTAACTGTAATCCATTTTTTTATCAATCTTTCTAATCTTACATTAGTGTTTCAGATGTAGTTGCATGTCGAGGTACAGGTCAATTTCTATGGGAGTATTTTTAAATAAATCGTATTTTTTAAATTGAAAGGGTTATATCATTTAGGAGGAATTAGTTTTTGGGAACTAAGTTTTTGAACTCAATAAATTTCTTCTTTCCTTCAGAAGTTTCCCACATTTTTTGTATGCAATATCCTGTAAAAATGATTTTATTGAAATGTAGCATAGGGTTGAGGTTTTACTTCAATAAGACTTCATAATAATAATAATAATAAAAATAATCTTTATTCAATCCTATCAGATCACATACAGCATTAATATATAGGATACGTCAAAAATAAAAACCATGAGATGTTAGACACATTTAAAATCAACAAGATAAAAATATCACTATTTAACAGATTTGTACACATATACATAAAAACAATTATTCCAATTTATATTCATACACACACAAACAACACATGTTCATTTCGCATAAAGAAATTCTTTGATACCATAATATTCATCTTTCACTTTTCAATTTTAATTTGAAATAGTTTTTTTTTTCCATAGCTCTCTCAGGTTTGCAGAAAGATGATTTAAAAACTTTATACCCCTATGTGAGGATCTTTTTTTAAAAAATGGTCAGTTGTGTGCATGAATTCTGGGGAGGTCTCCATTTCTAGTGGCGTAATCATGGCACTTACAAAGTGTTTGATACATGTAAATATGTTGCATAAGTAAAATTATACATTTGAAAATTTCTATTTTTGAAAATATCTTCGACACGATTCATCTGATTTTAGGCTGAAAACGAGCCAAATAATTATTTTTTGGGAAACAAATAGTTACTGTTGCAGATGTTACAGAGTAACATATGATATGTGGGAGTATATTAGAGCATAATAGACATTGGTGAGTTGATTGGTATTAAACATATTTTCTAATTACAATATAGCATAATAAATAATTCACAGGTCTGCGATGAGCTCTGAAACAACGCATTTTAAACTCATCATTTCAACCTTTTTCTTTAAAAAATTATTTAAATACTTAAAAAAGAGGAATGAAATAATGCATTCAACATTTAAAGGGATTCGTTTCTATTTCACCATTTGGCAACATCGGTTATAGCTAATAAAGGACAATGAATCTGTTATCTGTATGAGACAAACAAAGATAACATATTTCAGAGGCGTGCTGTTCTGTTTACTTATGTTCCGAGTTTTGAGACATTCTGTGACATATGACATTTTGTGCACCTAACCTATTTTCCTATATATAAATAAATAACAAAACAACTGTTGTTTATGTGGCTTGTGGAGGTGGTATTGAACTATAATTTATATGTTGCCTTAATTGTTGATTTATAAAGATATATTTCCTTTTTTAAAGTAGAATATCTAGGTACGTATAAATTATTTCAACTTGATATAGGCGCTATTGCCAATATGTGAATCAGAAACGAATCCGTTTAAAAATTAAAACCCAACACTTGAAACATCAATTTGTATACTTTTCGAAGTGAATTTGAAAAACTCATGAATTAAACTCAACTTTATTTTGTTCAAACTTACATTTGCTGTAATAACCCAAATTGAGGAACATTCCCCATTGAGTCTGAATTATGGAGCCTTTATGATGAAAAAGTTACTACACAATGTGAGTGTATATCTAAGATAAAGTACAGTTTTAATCTATTTATTTCAATGACAAAACGAATCTAAACTATCAGTTCCTACTGGAACAAGGCATTTATGTGTCAGTCTGTCTGCCCCCTCCGTAAACTTACTGTTCCTCATGGACCTAACTTGCCTATTCCTTCACCTCCGGATACCTTGGACAACATTTTAGACGATTTAAACACATAGTAGCAGTAGCGACAGTGATGACAGCTACGATCCAGGTACCAATGACCTCTCAATCAGACTTGAACGATTTATAGTACGAGATATGGGTCTTCCTAAGGACTCGGCAGAAGTTTCAGGAACTTAAAGAAAGACATATGTTACCCTCCGGTGTTTCATTTTCATGGTACCGATTTGGAGAAAGGGAAGTTATTCTTTTTTTACAAAAGAGGGTGACCTAGTTTTCTGCAACAATGTACCCGGCGTCATGGAAATGTTTAACATAACGTATGAACCAGAAAAATGGAGACTTTTCATTAATTCATCAAAAAGAAGTTTGAAAGCTGTACTTCTTCACAATGGGAAGTGTTGGACACTCACTCCATTTGAAAGAATGCTACAAAAATCTTGAATTTGTTCTTAATAAGCTCAGCTACTCTGATCATAAGTGGACCATTTGTGGTGACTTGAAAGTTATTTCAATGTTACTAGGTCAACAAACTGGTTCCTCTAAGTTTCCCTGTTTCCTATGTGAATGGTATAGCCGTGACATGAAACAACAATATGTCAAGCAGGTGTGGCCAATAAGAAAAGGTCTTATTCCTGGAGTTAGAAATGTTGAAAAACAAAGTTTAGTGGATCCTAAAAAAATCTTACTTCCACCACTCCATATCAAATTGGGGCTAATAAAACAGTTTGTGAAAGCATTAGAAAAAGAAGGATATTGTTTCAAGTATCTTTCTGAAAAGTTTCCTGGTCTATCCGATGCTGAACTAAAAGAAGGAGTCTTTTTTGGGCCTGACATAAGAAAACTTTTAAAAGATGAAAGCTTTGTCACTAAAATGGAAATGAAGGAAAAAATGCCTGGAATTTATTTAAACTTGTTATAACAGGCTTTCTTGGAAACAAAAATACCCAAACTACAAAACTTTGGTTGCTGAATTGATACAAAACTATAAAATGTTGGGCTGCAACATTAGTGTCAAGGTCCATTTCCTTCACTCACATCTGGGCTACTTTCCCGAAAATCTAGGGGCTGTAAGTGAGGAACGAGGAGAACGGTTCCATCAAGACATAAAAGAAATGGAACGCAGATACCAAGGTCGGTGGAATGTTAACATGATGGATGTTAACTGTTGGATGTTAAAAAGGGAAAATTCACAAGAACACAGCCGAAAAAGTACCAAAAGAAGCTTTGACGGAAAAAGAAAACATTTTTACAAAGACTTATAATCACTTTGCAAACACTTGTGTATCACAATTATGCTTAGTTTAGCTATGTAGCATTATTTTTTTGCTTTTACTTCATGTTAAAGTAATAAAAATAAATCCACAATTCCTCGTTTGTTTGTACTTTTTCAATTATTTCATCCTTTTTTGCAGGCAAACCTCACGTGATAGATAAAAACAAATGTCTTTTTTGAAATCAGCGCAAAAAACTACATGAAGATCAGTTAACAAAATCAAAACAATTTTTTAAAAAGTTTTTTTGCAGACCTGTGTTCACTTTTTTGCTTATGGCATCAATACCAGTTTGCCAACTCATTTTACTATGTATATACTTTCCAAAGAATTTCGTAATTTAAAAAAGATTAATTGTACTATTTCTGACAACCACTTGCATACTAGTCACAGATCTCCACCTAGAAGACATTCAAACTGTTTGCCCTGCATTCACTATCAAGAAATATCTTTCACACCAATTCGTCAATTCCTCTGATAAATTATTGTAACGAATTAAAGAATTAACTGTCTTAAACAAATTTATTTTAACAATACTTCACTATCACAACTAATTTATTTACACCACTCAGTAACTAACGCTTAATTTATCTTCACCGTTTGTTAACCGCTCGATTCGCTTTCTTGGTACAGACTACTCTTCGGGACGAAGAGCGACGTTTTTATATTGTCAACGAACGTTCCGGATCCCTCTGCGGATTTCGGGACTCATCCGCATCCTTCCCGCTCTTTCGCGGTATTCCGTGATGCGTCATGCGTCGGTCAGGGCCGGCTTCAGATTCATTACATTATTCAGGTTTTTTTGCAAGTCTTCAGGACTGAGTCAGTTGCTAATGTAGTATCATCTGCTGAGAGGACTATATAATCTGAACTAATATGGTAAGTGGGTCGTTCAAGAATAACAAAAAATGGAATATAATTTACTTTCGATTACCTTTGGGTTTATAAAATCAAATGCTTTTGATAAGTCGAAAAAAGTGCTTCCACATATTCATTGTCATCTAACGAGTCGAGGATGTATTTGAAAAAATTGCATGAAGCACTTTCGCTCAACTTACCTTGACATAATCTATACACCTTAGTTAAGGAAAAGAAAAGCATGCACAAGAATAATAAATATAGAGACTTTCATTTTCGAATTAGAAATTACAGGAAGTTCAAAGTCAAAGTTAAAAATTAGAAAATGTAATTTCTATTTGGTGTTCATTTGCATTCAACACTGTGGAAAAAAAGCTGAAAAGGAAGACTCACAAACAATGAAAAGAAAAAGCAAAAGGTAGTGGTGATAGAAAAAAAATTGCACTGAGATTATGTTACTATGTGAAACCATTTCCAATTCCATCAAGGCAATTTCAAATCCAACTGCGAAAGTACCTAGTTGTTGTAATTTCACAGTCCGAGTCACAATTAAAGAGAATAAAATCCGGACTGGTAGGCTGTGGTCGAAGGGAACCTGAAGTACCAAACATTTCGTCTGCTACCGTGGCAGACATCATCAGTGATATCTGCGTTGACTGCAAAGTCAAAGGTTATATCATGAAGTCTCAGCAAAAACTGTCTAGCGACGTACGTATTCTCTCGTATTTATAATTTTAGAGGTGGTGGAGATGAAGGCTGGGTGTCCAATACGAATATTCATCCTGATTGATCAAGTAACAATGCGGTCTTTGTCCATCAATATCAACAAAACGGTTATTGGTTTATCAAATATTTTTTAAGGGTTTTTAGAGACACGTTTTGAATTAGTTGGTAGTTCCTTATAAATAATAACCTCGTTATGTAAAATTGAATGTTTTCCATGGTTTGTATTAATTTCATTGGTAATAATATTTTTGATTTTTGAGTATGATATTAATAGATTCTTCTTCATTGAATGAATAAATATACATTTTTTCATTCTATACAAAGGAGAGATATTGAGAAGTACATTTTCAGTATAATGTTGTAAATCATGCCCTAAAAATAACACCGGCTGCCACTGGTAAACATAAACCAATTGTGACGTGGCCAAAAGCGCGGCAGTCCGGCCGACGTTTCACGGTTGTTCGATATTCGCGGCCATTCTAGATGTGGCGAGAATAATGCTACCTGCTTCGATGGAATTCCAGCGAATATTCTACCATATTTGAGGTCCTTCGATTGTCATATATAAACGCTACCTGCGAACCTATCGATATAGTCAAATTGAAAAGACGGTACTCGAAGTAATCTAATAAGGCGATAGACATTTGAATTATAAATCAAGTTTTAGGTTAAAGTGTTTTTTTTGTACTAATAGTAAAATGAAATTAAGTTTGATTATTATACAGTGTAGTCAGTTATTGGTAACTGACTACAGAAGAAGAAGAATTTTGATTTTTCTAGCAACTTTGTTGGCCTCTATTATTTTGTAAATATAGGTTTGACGAGAATTCGGTGTGATTATTTGTGTTATCATTGTATTTTAGAGTTTTCGACTCGGAAATAAACTTCCTTAAATTTCGAAGTTGCTGAAGTGCTGTTCCAATTGGTAGTGGAAATACTATACGAGACTTTCTAGGAGGTCGCACGAAAGAGAGGCTGGAAAACCTCAAATTTGCAAACTACTCTAGTTATTTTTGCTTATTCTCTGTAACTCTTCCGAAACTACTGCTAATGACATAAAAAGTCAGCATTCATTTTACTAAACAGTATTCCATCAAAAAATTGCTTTTTTTCTCATTATCTCATGAGATATATAGACAATTTTAGAAAAACACAATATTTTTTAGATATGTTTATATTTTCTGTAACATAAAATATCCTTTACTTACAAAAAATAACTTGAGAAAAGGTCAAACTTAAATATCATTTATGTACACATCACGTTGATGTTCTTCAAGAAGAATGTCCAAATCTGCTGGAGTATAATTGTTGTAAGCATTCTGTATAGTAGATACAATTTTTGGATGACAGACATTGAACCACCTGATCAACTGATCCTGCAAGTCTTGCTTCTCTCTTTCAGAAGCAAAAGAATGAGAGATTGAATCATACGTCATTTTCCAAAGATTTTCTGGTATTTTATCAAAATGCCGTTGAACAAGCGTATATTCTTTGGTGAGAGTAGTTCCGAACACACCTTTGTCATCAGTCTGAAAAATAAAAGTAGTTTATTCCAAATGTACAGAGTGTTTCTCTTATGTATAAATATTTGAGAGAGTGATTGAATGAATGATTTGAAGAAGACAATGCTCGTTTATGATATAACAGGGCTCTAAACTTTTAACTATTTAGGAAAATAGAATTGCCAAAAACCGCATTTTTGTCTTCAGAAGACATAAAATATTAAAGGATATTTTCTGATATTCATTTTATAGATTTATCTAGTGAATTTATTGTAAATCTACACTTCAAAATTATTTTCCTATAGTAGATTTATAACTTTAGAATAAAGTTTTATTTCACAACCATTTATTTATTCAAAATATTCTGATGCGATGATAGTTTCACAAAAAATAATATTCTGATGTGATAGTTACACAAAAAATACATGGAAATAATTCCTGAAGAGAGGTAACTCGAAAATTGCTACTGTATTCCACATCACACTGTTGCCAAATCGCAAAAAATTGTCTACGATGTTTCTGCAAGTCTTTCTGGAGTTTCTTTGAATGATTACCTTCTCAACGAACGGTCCAAAATTGCAAAAGGACATTCTTTCAATATTATTGAATTTTAGAAATCGTCAAATATATTTTTTTGTGATATAAAATATATATTCGAATAAATTTTGATCAATGAAACCCACCAAGACCTCCACTGTGAGTTTTTACCCCAAAAATCTATTAAACAATTTAAATTCAAGAGTGGTTCAAACACTTCGATAGCTTTCAAAACGGTAGAACCTTCGCCAATCAGAACCAGACAAAAACGGCCTTCGTCGACTCTATCGAATCTCGATCACATAATATTTATGCTGACGGAACTTATCGACTTGTGTTATTTTGACAAAAGTGCACTGTTTCAAATGACGCTTATTTCGATTAAATTAAATAAGTAGTAGACTCATAAAAACGGACAAAACTTTTAAAACGACCTAATAATTGTGGGTACCACACTTGTATCAATTTTAACAGAACACGCAATAATTTGTAAGTCATCTATTTGATCAATGGTAATTTTTCTAGGAGTTATGATTGGTTGATTTTGATAAGTAGAATTCGGAACCTCTGGCGTGAAATGAATCTACTGAAAGCAATTTTTCTGCACCATAACAAAATTGCTGTTTCTACTATAGTGATGATGCTAACTTGTTTAGCGAAACGTGCGTGTTTTCAACAGACTTCTTGATTTTATTTGCAACACCAGTAATTTTTTGAGTAGAATTTTTAAATTAACAAATTTGATTAGAATAAGAGGCGTAATTCCTGTCTAGCGCCCTTCAGTTGATATATTGTTACGTTTTTCCCCGTGGGTTTACCAATAATTAACTACACTGAACCATAATCGAACATAACTGTATTTCACTTCAAATACAACAAAACACTTTAACTAAAACTTCAACTATTATTCGAATGTCTTTCGCCTTACTAGTTCGCCCCACGTACCGCACTATCACTTCCAAATGACTGTCTCGATAATCGAGTGGATCGTGTTTATATTTGGCAGTCGAAGACCGTAGAAAATTCCTCGGAATTCCACCGAAGCCGGTGCGAAGACTAGAATAATGGAGGTTGCGCGAGGTTTTGACCACGTCACAATTGGTTTATGGCGGCCGGCGTTATTTTCTTTAGGGCATGATTCACGACAATATTTTACAAAGAGTTAACGGCAAATCGAGGTAATAAACGAAATGCTAATATGTGTTAGTAAAAAACTGATAAATGCATAGAGAGTGAACTTTCCTATGCAAATTATTACTTTGCGTATAAAAGAGAGAAAAACTAGAAAAAAGGCACAATTCTTAATTTGAATTTTCATCATTAAACTGGTAAAAACCAGAATAGTTATCAAAAAGCCCAGCTGAGCAAGTCTTGAAGGTACAGTTCATGAGTAGACATTGTCCCTTTATCCTTTATGTACCAGAGAGAGAGAGAGAGAGAGAGAAATCACAGTTAGTACGCCATAAATAACAATTTGAATTATTGAAAGGATATTCTTTATATTTACATTTGATAAATATGAATGAACATAAATAACAAAAGAAACAAAAAAGTGAGAAACGACTCAACAGTGAATTTAATTTGTGGGTAAATACATACAATTTAATTTGTTTATTCTAAAGAATCGAGATTTAATTAAAATGACTAGGTCTTCAAAAAATTTTATGAAGTTCTCATTCTGACAATTTTCATCAGTGACATTACGAACAAAATGGTGTTTCCTGGAAAGAAAATGTTTTTCACTTTGCCGTCAAGGCCAACTTGTTTTTCAAAAAGTGAAAATATTTTCAAAATTCATATCTCACAAGCAGAACTCAGTCCGACAATCTTAAAATGATTTTAGCTCATTGCACCTCTTGTAACATCAATCCTGGGACACACTGTATATATATTTTGAGGATTAAGGCTTATATGACCTCTCAAAAGAAAATAAATAAGTGTTTCGGGCTCGATTAAAATAAGTGGACATATTCAGTTTTGTGAAAAATAGACAATAAGAGACAAAATGTGTTCAAGGAAAAGGCACCTAGTGGACTTCAAAGTTGCCGAATTGAAGCAAGAATTGGAGGAGAGAGAGCTAGATTGTTCTGGAAAGAAATCAGTACTGCAGAAGAGACTGAGGGATAACTTGACGGAATCAGGAGAAGATACCGAAACATATTTATTAAGTTTCTGGGGGTTATTTGAGTTCAATAATGAGCAAACTCATTGAGAAAGAGTTTAAAAGAGTTGCAAAACCAAATCGTTAATTCTGCCCACACCTCAAAAACTGTTACCGAAAGCTCAATTCCGGAAATGAGGTTCAACATAGAAAAACTTCATAAAGCAATGAAAGATGTCAAAGGCAGTTCCGAACCAGGAAAGCTCTCCATGAAGCCGCCCCAGTTCGACGGAAAAACTTCTTGGGCAAATTACCGCCGACAATTCGAAGCTGCGGCCAGAGGGAATGGATGGAATGCAGCCTTTATTCAGCAAGCCCCCGTATAAAACGCAGATGCTCTGTCACGGAGACCATGTCCCGATGACTGCTCACATTACCGACAAGCAGAAGAGAAGGAAGCAGCGATTTGTAGAACTACAGCTGTAGATCACAACTGGGAGGACAATAGGATCAAGGAAGACCAGGAGAAAGACCCAGATCTTGGTTTAGTCGTCGGATGGAAGAAAAGTAATCAAAGACAATCGTGGCAGTAGGTAGCAGGTTATTCGCCAGCGGTTAAGTCCTACTGGGCCCAACGGAACTCCCTTACCTTGTAAAACGGAGTTATGAAGCAAGTGTTGGAGTCTGAAGACGGTGGAGAAGAAAGGCGCCAGACAGTTGTATCCAGAAACGGGAGGTGCTCAAAGAAATTCAAATGGGGTCACTGGAGGACATCTGGGAGTAACGCTAGTTGCACACACACCGATTTTGGACGGCCGACTTCATACCGGTCGTCCAAATTCCATGTGGGAACGGGATCTGGCACACGCGCCAACCGGTGATCGTCGCCGGTAAAATACCGGTGAGCAGCCGTCCACTGCCACTGTATCGCCGGCAGTACCGGGAAGTAGTGGCGTACGTGACTAAATACACTCTTGCATACTCACCGGTTTTTTACCGTCCATTCCAGTCTCGACTGCTCGGTGAAATTGCAGTTACTACGTATCAACTTAATTTTGGTAGTGGATGCTAATTACGGTGACCGGTAAAAATCCGATGAGGCTGCAAGCACCCGCTACCAATGAAATATCGGCCGATTTTATACTGGCCTTCCAAAATCGTTGTGTGTGCAATTAGCGTAACGAAGGCCCTCCAGAAAGTAAGACGACGGTTTTACTGGGTTATTGTCAAGCCGACGTCTTCAATGCGCCAGTATAACGTGGGTAGTCTCTTCGAGAGAATCGCCATCAACATGGCTGGCCCGTTACCAGAGTCCGACCGTTGGAACAAATACATCCTGGTAGCCATGGACTACTTCAGTAAGTGGGCAGAAGCCTATGCCCTGCCCAACCAGGAAGCCTTTACCGTCGGTGACGTCCTGACCATTCGGACCAGGACAGAAATTTCGAGTCCAACCTGTTCCAAGAAATATGTAAACTGTTGGATATTCGAAACACCAGAACCACCGCTTTACATCCACAGTCCGATGGAATGGTGGAACGAATGAATAAGACCATAAACCGTCACTTGTCCAAGGTAGTCTCTGACCATCAAAGAAACTGGGACCAGTACCTCCACCTGTTCCTGTTGGCCTATCGTCCGGCAGTGCACGAGTCAACCGGATAAACCCCTGCCGGTATTATAATGGGCCGAGAGCTGCGCCTTCCTTGCGATCTAAAATTTGTGACGCCACCAGAACAATACACTGCGGGGGAAACTATGTCAGCAAGCTTCGGCAGAGAATGGACGACATCCATGAACGAGCCGGTCTGAACATTCGGAGTGCCAGCGATAGGATGAAGAAGGCCTATGACATCAAGGCCAATGCTGGATGATTCAAAACCGGTGACCTAGTTTGGCAGTACAACCCTAAACGACGCCGTGGTTTATCACCAAAGTTGCAAAACTCGTGGGAAGGCCGTACAAAATAATGAAGAAGATAAAGAACCTCGTCTACCGAATTCATAAGCCACCTCGAGGAAAGCCTAGGATCGTCCATTTTAATAGACTGGCTCCTTATGCTGGAAATCACGACCAAGTTCGCGCCCTCAGACCACCAGAGGATGAAATGACGTTCCAGAAGTTCATGTCTTTATACTCGAACGGACAGAAGGTCGTACATGGAGTAACTCGAGAACAGTCACGAGACCTTTTCAAGGTTCCAGTTGATTACGCACTAGCTCACTGCGTGGCAGAGAATCTCCAAATATCCAGGGGTATCGCGATTCTTGGAATCGCAGTCCGCGAATTGCATTTACCGGATACCCTGTGAGTGCGGAAAATCCTATATTGGTGAAACTAAGAGGCCATTGAATGTTCGCATTGCCGAGCACAAGAAGCACATACAGCGAGGAGAAACCAGCAAATCAGGAATAGCAGACCATGTTTGGACCCATCAACACTACATCGAGTGGTCCCAAGCTGAGATCTTGCACAGACAGGAACATTGGTTTAGGAGAAAATTTAAGGAAGCCGCATACTTGTTGTCCAACAACGTATTCAGCCAGGCCAGCGTAGAAATACGAAACATATGGAAACCCATCATCAAACGAAAAATGGCCAACTCCCGCCAAAACGGTCATCTCTCACGGAATCAGTGAAGCGGAAAATGGAAAAGCAGAGAAAGTGAAAGTATTTCAACGACCTATAAATAGTCATCTCTCGAAGGAATCAGTCCAGTCATCACCCGAAGACGATTGTAGATACCAACAATCGAAACGTCGTGAACTAACGTGACTTGGAATCTCTACACTTTTTTATTATTTTCTTTTTTCATTCCTTTAATTTTTATTTACTCAATTATTATATTTTTACTTGTAGGTTATTTCACTATCATTTCATTTCAGGTTTATTGTTTGCTTAATATAATTGTTATCTTCAGCTATTCTTTTTTTAAGTATTCCTTTTTACTTGTTTCAGGGATTTCAAATCATTTTATATAGTAGACAATGGAAGTCCGAACTAGTGAAATTCATCACGAAACATTGTCAATCACCTTCAAACAAATATGTGAATATGTGTATGTGAAAAGAATATAAATTAGTTTGTGATAGTGAAATATTGTTAGAAATAAATTTATCTAAAGGAATGAACTTTAAACGTTCAAGCCAGTCTCGAATATACCTACACAGTAGGTTGAGTGGACTGACGCTTATCAGAAAACAACTACTCTCCTGGCTAATACCACGAAGGGCGTTGGATTATATCCGACAAGCGTCAGTGCAGGAATTTTCACAGAAAAATTCCTCTATATGCAATTGGCAATACAACTGAAAGAGTCGACCTTCAATTTTGGAACGGGCACACTTGCAGACCGGTTTCGGGCTCATTAGCCACTCATCAGTGCAAGATAGTGGCCATCACTCAACCCATTCTGTAGGTATATTCGAGACTAGCTTGAACGTTTGAAGTTTATTTCTTTAGATTTGTGTACTGCCAGTCTTCAAGCATAGCCCACTCACTAGCAAGAAATAAATAAATTTGTTTAAGACAGTGAATTCTTTAATTTGTTACAACAGGAACTAATATGTAACAACTATCAATCAAAGCTTCAGTCATGTCGAATAGTATGATCAGATGGTCAGAGGCAAATATACTTGAACTAAATGTCACAAAAACAAGACTTGTAATTTTTAACAAGTCAATCAACTACGACAAATCTCTATATGTGAAACTTCAAAATAAGTCTTCCAATATCTGATCACACTAAATTCTTAGATTTCACGAAGGATGCAACCCTCAGTTAGCAAACCCATATAAATTTATCAAATAACAGATTAACACACCTATTTGTGATATGATAAGATATTTAAGGCATCAAGTATATGTTTGTAGTCTGAGAACATATTACTATGCCCATGTGTAGCCATTGATTTCATATGGTATTATATTTTGGGGTTCTTCAGTATACTTCTTGAAGAAAAAAAACTGATGAGGAGAATGAAGATTTCATAGTCAGGGACTTGAAAGAGAATGGAAACCTAAATACATACTTAGTAGCTGCTGATTTCAAATATAAAGATACTTTTTATAATCTATCATTTTGGCCAAGAGCGGTAATCTATAGAAGGTTTGACTTCAAATAAACACTTTGAAAAATATAGTACAAGAAATATCTTTGGAAGCGAAGAAGAAATAAGACCTACCTTTTTTAGACAAAGGGAAGACAGAGTAGAAGAAGAACAAATTGATACCCTCAGTAAAGTAGAAACTCACAATAATCTTAAAGTAATGCATTTCAACATTGGAGGCATAACTGATAAAGTTGCAGCTCTCAAAATAACGCTGAATTCATATAAGGTAGATATATGTTGCATTTCCGAGCACTGGCTCAAGTCTAATGAAATAACATCTCTTAAATTGGAGAAATTTTCTTTAGTTATTCAAAATGTATCGAGAAACACTTTGAAGCAAGTATTTCTACAATAAACTTGAATAATTCTAACGTTAAAAGAAATTTTAAAGTCTTTATAATAACTGTGTATAGAACCCCTAAGAGCGATGTAAGATTATTCCTTGATAAATTGTATGAGCTAATGTGTGATGTATATACAAGTCGAGATTACTTTCTTGTTTGTGGTGACTTCAATATCAATATATTCCATATGAATGGCCAAGTGAACGAACTTATAAACTTGTTCAGCGAGTTTGGAATGAAAAATTATCTTAATCAAGCAACACGTATCACAGATAGAAGTGCTAGCTGTGTAGATTTTATGTTCTCAAATCTCACTGTATAATCTACGTTAATCAAAGACAATCACACATTTCAGATTTGTTAGTTCGATGTACTTATTGGTGATAATAATCAAAATGAGATGTTGTTCGTACGTGATCTATCAGAGAGCAATTTGACAACATTCAAGAACATTCTAGAAAATGAAAGCTGGTCAGAAATATATAACTCTTTAAATATCAATTTTAAATTCAATAATTTTGTCACAATATTCAACTATTACTATAAAATAGCTTTTCCACTTAGGAAAATTAAAACTAATAACAAGGAGAAAAAAATGGTATTCACCCGAGATAAAAGAAGTTCACAATATGCTGTGTGAAATGGCCAAACATAGCAAAACATTGTTCAGATGGAGTGATACAAACTAGATATAAAACTTTGAAAGTTTTATATAAAAATAAACTGAAAGAGACAAAATTGATCTTTAATAATGAAAGAATATGGAATGCACCTCAGAGAGAATATTTCTCAAATTAAAAAAAGCAATTAGATGAATGCAAGACCAGCGGTGAAAATAAGATGATAAAGTACATTAACAATATTCCCACCATTGTTGATGTATCCAGTATTCACAAAAACGACAGAGTCCTAATATAATATACAGGGTTGACATAATTTATATGGATGCTGAAAGTTTTTATGCTCATAAGGACAGATTACTAAGGACATTTTTTGTTATCCGCCATCAGTAGTTATTCTCAGTGAAGCCAGATGCACGAGTGATATTCTTGACTGTGAAATAGATGTTACTAGATATTCCATTATAAGATGTGATTCCTCGAGCCGACATACCGGAGAAGTATTAATTTATGTGCGTGAAGATGTCAGTTATTCAGTGAAGAAAAACTGTATTTTGGATAAAAATTACTGGTGTCAACTTATTAATGTTGAACTAAATTTGAAGAATGGTGTGAAGATCATTTCACAATCAACAAAAAATATATTTTAATAGATGATGTAGATATAGAATTCTTGGGCAATGGCTTGCTTCTACAGCAAAAAAATTACAAATATTACAGCTTATGGAATTGAACAACTCGTTGATGAGCCAACAAGAATAACTTCAATTAGTTCTTCTTTAATTGATTATGTGCTATCAAACCAAAATAATATGAAAGTTTGTATACATCATGAACCAGTATTTACAGATCACTTTATAATAACCGTAAACTCATACAACAAAGATCAAATAGTAATTACATTTTTTACGCGAAGACTAAATGATGATGTTTTTCATAAAATAAATTTGAAACTAATTGAATGCGATTGATTGAACGGGTCTAATGATGTAAATGAAATATACAGTAATATTGAGTCGAAATGTGAAATACTATCAAATAAATGATATTGCACAAATAATTGAAAATTGAGAATATCCATTCAACATGGATGTCAGTAAGAATGTCGGCTCTGATGGTCTAAAGAAAATCTGCAATTACTGCAAGAAAAACGTCAGTACGGTCTTGTGTTACCTGTGAATCTATGTATCATGGTAGCTGTGCAAAAAGAGTAAATTCTTGTTGTGAAGTGATTCTCAGCACGAAATTCCAGGCACCAGATTATGACTCAGATACACTCTCTGAAACAAGCTATCTGAGGGAAGAAAACAAACTCCTAAGACAGATAATCATGGGCAAGGACACAATCATCAGGGGCAAAGACACACTCATTGCACTTTTATCTTAAAAATCATACTCCTGGAAAATAACCTATCTTTAAAGTGCATAGAAGTATCAACTAATCAACCTGATCACAAAAAAACTGCCCAAAGTAACTCTAATCTGCCTAATGATACAAAAAAGACCGAAGTAAAAACAACCGAACATCTGTGAAATCCAATAGCAACAAAAAACTATCAAACACTATTTTAAGTCCAGGCATACAGGGTGATACATCAGATAAGAGTAAATCGAACTTACAATTACTGGAAGTCCAAACAATGAAAAAATTTGATGAAATCATTAACCTGATTAACGATACTGACCCAAATCCCCCTGGTACCTCCGTAGACAACTCCTGGAATTCAGTAACTTATAAAAAAATCAAAAAAAGTAATACATCTTCACAACTACCTACTGCTAAATCATATGGCACAGGATAACCTAGTGATCTACTCACAGTTGCTCCTGTACGGAACTGGATATGGATTGGTGGACTAGACCAGTGTACTACCATCGATAATGTTAAGGAATATGTAAAAAAAGTCTTTCCTGACAATAACGTTACTTGTTTTGACCTCAAATCCAAGTATAAAAGAAATGCTTCAAAATAGGGAGTTTTGATCTGTCAATGGATGAACTTCTGGACCCCAATAATTGGCCCAACAAATTACACATTCATCCCTTTCAACACCAGTGACCATCAATATGGTTCTTCTGGTTATTCCAAACCTGAATTAAATGTAAAAAAGAACATATATAATTTCAAAATACTTCATCTAAATGATCAATCATTAAAAAACAAAATTAATAAACTGGAAGTTCTTTTATAGGAAAAGGATCCGGATGTCATTAGTATTGTTTAGCACTGGTGTGATACCGAGAATATTGAATTTATGTCCATTCCTGGCTATAGTCTGATATCTGAATTTTGTCGTATTACTCATATACATGGGGGAACTGCCATCTTCGTTTAATCATCATTTCTAGCTCAGTGTCTTGATTTAAAACAGTTCTCAGAGGAGATTCATTGTGAAGGCAGTGGGATAAAACTAACTGTACAAGGTAAAAAGATTTGTATATTAAACATTTACAGATCTCCTAATGGTAACTTGGATATATTTTTACATAAATTATCCTGCATATTAGATTATATTTCTAGAAATGACTATGATATTTTCGTATGTGGTGATTTTAATGTTGATTACCATAAAAATACTTTGGAAAAGTCACAGCTGGATGACTTATTAGCTAATCACAACTTCATATTGGGGATAACATCATCTAGCAAACTCGAGTATGTACTAACAAATGTGGAGGAGGATTGTTGTAAATCTAATGTCTATGAGGGGAACTTCAGTGATCACAAAATATTTTCTCTTATTTATAGTATGCCTTTAGAGAGTAAAATAATTTTACCCTCACTATACTTACAGAGATATCTCAGAACATAACTTAAAACAATTGTCTTTGACATTGTCAATTACCAGCTTTAACACCATATATCATTTAAATTATGTGGATGATAGTTTTCAGGAATTTATGAACATTATAACAAGTATCTTAAATGACTGTTGTCCTATAAAAAGGCACATAATAATATCTAACAAAAAATGTAACTGGGTAACTCCAGAAGTCAGACAAGCTAGCCGTAATCTAAAAAATACCCATTGGCTGTGCAAAAACATAGGCAACTTAGACTCGCAGGCTGCATATAAAAGAGCAAAGAAAGACTACGACTACTCGAGAAAGCTAAATTGGATTTTCATGCAAATCTAATAAAGAACTCGAACAATAAAAACAAAACAATCTGGAACCTAGTTAACAAGGAAATGGGTAGAGGGAAAAAACAATTTGACATCATTCTCAACCATGGGAATGAGTTGATCACTGATAAAAAAAGGGCGGCTAATACTTTCGGTGATTACTTCTCATCAGTAGTAGAAGATAACTTACAAAAACATTTAGGTAGCAATAGATCATCTATATGCACATCTTCCAACATTTTAACAAACACATTCTTCTTTGCGCCAATATCTGAAGACGATATTATCGATATTATAAATGGTTTAAAAAATAAAAAAAGCACAGGCCACGACAATATCTCAGTAAGAATCATAAAAGAAAATGGGGTATTGATCTCTAAGCATCTAGCTCACCTGTTCAATCAGTCTATCACAACCGGCAAATTTCCATCACTCTTGAAGACGGCCATTATTATTCCCATTCACAAAAGTAAAGAAACATCAGATGTGACTAACTATCGTCCTATCGCTCTCTTAAGTATTTTCTCAAAAATCTTTGAGAAACCAGTTAACGAGAGAATGGCTAACTTTCTGTTGAATTTTAAGATTCTTACTGACTGCCAGCACGGTTTTCGTAAAGGCAAGTCCACACAGTCAGCTGCCTGTAGTTTTGCTGAAATCATCTATAACTCCCTAGACAATGATATGCACGTGGCAGGAATATTTTTTGACCTCTCACGAGCATTTGACTGTCT